CAGGCTTTAGCTTTGCCTGATGGAGAGGCTGATGCTGGCTCTGAAACTTATTGATGTTGGACCTAAAGTCGATGGTTCAGGTGTAGAAATTAATGTTAATGCAACACCCTTTCTTCCAGATTTCTCTTGGTGCTCCAGTTGCAAGATTTTTTCTTTTCTTACAGCCTAAAGAGATATTGCAATCGAGTTTTATCTGTGAAACCTTTTTAGTTTTGTTAACAGGGACTATCTTTAGGTTTTGGGACAGTCAATGACCACATGTATGGATGACAAAAAGTCAGAATCCATTTAGATTCTTTGAAAATCAACTGAGTAAATAAATGTGATGTGCCTGCATAATATTTCCCATGAATATTATACAATAATAAACTATACATAATCACTTAATAAGCTGTACTTCTATATAAATGTAGGTGACCACAATTCACGGATACCGCATAATCACACTGCCAACGTGAGGTTTCCACAAACATTGTGTGTGTTTGTGTTTAGGGCTTCAATTCTTCTTCATGATGCTGCAGCGCGTTTACTCTGTATCATAATAATCTGCTGCCTCTTACTCGCTTGTCTGGAGCTGGAATAAAAGGCCATTTGTAAAACGTCACTAATTGGCACTGACATGGAGCATTTATTATGTCATACATCAGCACTCAACTTGATGATGTGTATCAGGGATAATACAGATAGTGACATAGCCATGGCCAGTTGCAGTTCTTCTTCCTCCTCCAACCAGAAGCTCCTCTCTCCTTCCTCCTTCTCAAGGCGGAGCTTTTTCCCATCAAGACCTTCAAGTTCCTCATGGCAGTAAAGCTTCCTCCTTCCCCGACGCCCCTCTGCCTCCTCCTGCCAGCCGCCCTCCGCTCCGGGGACGTCGCCGGCCCCAGCGGGCTCTCGCGCGAAAGGCGGCGACCTGACGCCTACTCCTTGTTCTCGACATGTGGAGGGCGAGGGAGAGCATCGTCGTCGTCCATGCGGAGACCCTTCTTGAGGTCGTCTTCGTCGTCTTCGTCGTCCCTGATCTCCTGGGAAGGACCTCTTCTCCTCCGGTCCCTGGACTCTCCTCTGGAAAGGACCTCTTTCCATTAGCCACGGTTAATTTCACATGCACTTTACCAACCCACGCACATACGCACACACACATTGCACGCACAAGACACACAAAAAAAACAACAACAAAACACACACAACAAAATACATTAAAAAAGAGGAAGAACATCACGTACCGCTTCGAGCAGGTCGAGCAGCGCGAAGTTGGCTTCAGCGTCCAGAACTGGTCGCGTCCTGCCGGCAAGAAGGGCACCGGAACACACTCTTGCGGTTCTCCGTCCCTTGAAGGAAAGATTTTTATTGACTCCAGCAATTTATCTTTTCCTTCATGGGTTCATTTATTCATTGATTTTTTAAAAAAATCTATCTATTCATTCTATTTATTCATCTATATCTATTTATTTACTATTTACTTTTCTTAGATATCTTAATTTATTCTATCTACGTATTTATCTATTTATCTATTTACTCATCAATCCATTTAATCATTCATTTAATCATTATTCACACACATACATAATGTATATAGTATACCCTGTTACTTACTCGTTGTATATTTCTCTGAAATTAACAATTATTGCAAAAATAAAGCGGGGAAAAAAACGAGGCACCAAGACATTGAAAACAAAGCCATAACACTCACCCCCCCCAAAAAAAAAAAAAAAGGAACACACCAATACAGAGACCACACTTCAAGACAAACAAATTTCACAGAAAGACAAACAGAAACCTTACTAAGGCATTCCTCGCAGAAGGTGTGGCCGCAGCTGGAGAGATAAGCGGACGACGATCGTGCGCATTGTAGGTCGACCTACAGACTGCACAGGTTATCCCTGAGGGAGCCTGCAAAACACGGTGTCCTGTATATTAGTCCACAGTTTCTGCCTAACCCCATTTCGCTCTATTAACTGTTTCTCTTTCTATGCTTCACATACTTCATGTAAATAATATATACATATACATATACATGTAAATATATGTGTATACAGCTGTCTACACACACACACACACACACACACACACACACACACACACACATACATATATATATATATATATATATATATATATATATATATATATATATATAAGATACTTCACAGAAAGTGGTTGTGAACGATGTCATTGTCGGTATCCTTTCGACGACCTGATAACTTGCTGCGCAATAAGTTATGGCCCTGCAATACATCCCCACGAGCGGCTGGACCATCGATTATTATCAAGGGGGCGGGGGGGGGGAGGTGCCCAAGAACGTGGCGTCACCAAGCAAATGTCACAACTAAACCGGCTGGGATAATGGTGTGTATAATAATCTATAGCGCTGCCAGTCTGGAAACATGACGCGGTTCGCCTATTAACGCGGTAGACTGGCTGGGCACCACAGGCAGGTCAATCTGTCAGGGGGAACTGCAGCCGAAAGGAGTCTCCGCAAGACGGGGCCTCTGGGGGTGATCTTCGTGCGTTCCCAAAAGGTGGGAAGCTACGGACGTGCCCGACCTCGGCTCATCCTCAATGCGACCGCGCGTATTAAGGATGAGCCTAAGGGGCGAGGCCCTTGAGGCGGAGTCGACGATCGTTGATGGCCCTTGCCTCTGTCGGGTGGAGCTCGCATGCAGTTATCAGAGCGCCTTAAGTCGCCTCATATTTCGTCTGATTTTGTGCGTTTCAGGCGAGGGTCTCTTAATACATGCCGTGAACTGGCAGATCTCCATTAATAAAAGGACATTTATGCTGGCTAAAGACGAGAGAGTGGTTGATGGCTTTCAGCCATTACTATACAAAGGAGGGACTCATACTATCGAGACTTTAGATGTCATGAGCTTGTGAAAAGCATTTCCCATATGGCTCGATGCAGGACAAGGTCAAAATGGTCTTAAAAGTCTCTTTTATAGGATTATTATGCCAATGATGAAGGCGCTTCGGATTGGAGGTGAGGCAGGCAGGCGACAGGCGGTTGGATTAGTAACTAACACTTTTTTGCTGTTTCGCGGTAAGAAGTCCGGGACATTATCTTATCTGCGCCATTGAATGAACTGGTCGTGAAGGGTTGTAAAACTAATTGTCATGGCATTACTGAATTCTAAGGATTTCGGTTTTCTACCGCTTTTATTTTAAGTATCTGATTTTTTAAAATGAATAGCAATTTGAAGATCACAACTTTTTATTAATACATAAAAGAAAAGAAACACATGCGTATATGCCTTCGATGGCTCAGGACGCAGTTATTGAAGTGGTCTTTGTCTTAATCTATTCAGAAGCACTGAAAAATATTTTTGTTTTATCCTTCCTATTATGAGAAAATCAAAAGGTGAAACGGTTTGATAAGCGTACTTTTCAAGTAGCTAATGCCGACGAAAAAGATTAAACGAGGTAGTTGCATATATTTTTTTTCTCATTAGCCATCTACACTGATCTGATTTCCTATTTTCCAGTGAAAAAAAAAAAAAACATCTACACACAACGATTTGGTCCAATAGCCTAAACTATACGTTTCGTTGATACCTTTTACCTACAAAGATGCAAACCATATAGTATTCCTGTAAATATTTTTTAAATCAACATTACCTGGTTTTCAGAGCTGTTCTCGTAATGCTGATCTGACGAATAAAAATTTTCCTGGAAAAGAAAAATGCTATTAACATGCATGTATTGTACATACAGTACCTGCTTGATTCTTTAATTGTTTTTTTTTCTATATATACCGTATACCTATAAACCAGCACAAAGAAAAAGACAAGAGAAGGAATTAGACGAACAAAACAAACACACAAAACGCCGCCTTGCCTCGTGCACAGGCGCGCCTGAGTCCTGGCGGAGGCCTCCTTGACCCAAGACGTCGCGAATGCTCTCTCGCAGGTCTCGCGAAGTCCCTGACGGCAGGCTATCTAGCGCTGTCAGCAGTCTTATCAGCAGCTCGAGGGTTTTGTTCAATTTTTCTTGGCTCTGCAAAACAACGAAGGTATATATAGCGACTGAGGATGAATTCGCAGTTATTATTTAAAGAAAAATTGAAAGGAAAATGGTCTGCAGCACAAGGTAGTGAAGGAGGAAGGGGAAGAGGAGTTAACGGAGGCTGAGGAGGAAGAGGAGGAGGAGGAAGAAGAAGAAGAAGAAGAAGAAGAAGAAAGAAGAAGAAGAAGAAAGAAGAAGAAGAAGAAGAAGAAGAAAAGAAAAGAGAAGAAGAGGAAAGAGGAGCTGGAAAAGAAGACAACGAAAACGAAGAAAACCAAAAGAAGGAGGAGGAGGCGAGAGAACAAAATACAAATATACGTAAATAGAAAATCGAGAAAAGTATGTTCCTTTTACCGATGTCCCCAAGAACAGATTTACCAAACAACAGCGTAACTCTCTTATTTGACAATCATTAATACAAATTATTATTGACTCACCTCAACTAAGGCGTTGATTTTCTCTGAAGTCCGGTCTTGTTCCTTCCGAAGGGCGCATATGTCCTGTTAAGTGAAGGACACTCTGTTATGTAAATTCACTCACACAATTATTGGCATGTATATTCTATATATATGTGTGTGTTATATATGTATGTATATATATGTGTGTGTGCGTGTGTGTGAGTGTGTATTCCCCTTTCGCTCTTTCTCTTACCCTCTATTTCTCTTCCCTTCTCTATTCCTACTTCTATCTTTCTCTTCATCTCATCCTCTCTTTTCCCCTCTCCATTCCCCCCTCTCTTTCATCTCCCTCTCTCTCTTTCTCTTTCCCTCATTTTCTCTCTTCTCCCTCTCCACCCTCCTCTCTCTTTCACTCTCCCTCTTTTTTTTACCTTCCCTCTCTCTTCTCTTTCCTCATTCTCTCTCTTTCACCCTCTCCATCTCCTCCCAGTCTCTCTCTCTCTCTCTCTCTCTCTCTTCTCTTTCTCTTTACCTCATTCTCTCTCTTCCCCTCTCCATCTCTCTCCCCTTTCCCTCATTTTTACTCTCTTCCTCATTCATCAT